CCTCTAGAGTTGAGAACATACACGACTTTATTAATAAAATAGGCATGACGCCTGAAAAAAAGAAGTTAATTCGTATTCGTCGTCGACTGCTTCTCAAAAACATTCTTGACGACCCAAGAGAAAAACGAAGATTGCAGAATAACTGAAATATTTAGAGAATTAAAACAACTTTATTTCTCAGAACCAAACATCACGTGAGCACAGCAGTTCAGCACTATCCACCCATGCACTATCACAGTCGATTAAGTGAAATCGATCTGTCAGCAGATTGAGCTATGTTGACAATAACCATAAGCCAAGAGTGCCAAATTAGAAAATGCTGTTGGCTTCCAAAAGAATGCGACAGCCGATGAAAGGAAAACGCAGATTAAGGACAAATAACAGTCTTTAATAGAAGGAGTTGAATGTTGACATCCAGGTATGTTTATGACAAAGAAAGGAGACGACTGCTTGAAAATCAGAACCACTTAATATACTGATTTTTTGAACTGGAGCAGGAGGTCAGCATCATAAATAATATCAGTACCAGAACGAATGACAATTATGCTGAGTATTCCCGAGTCAACGATCGGTGACGCCAGACTGCAGGTAACGGCGCAAAATTCTGTATGCTAACATCAGATCGATACATTACTTGTTTAAATTTTCATCCAGAGTTCAGGCTTCAAGCAATTTTTGAATTTCCTGCTTCCGGTCTGAATGATTATCCAGATGTTTACGAAATTGTACTAATGGCTTGTTTCGAAGTTGTAGGTAGCCACTTGCAATACTTACTCGCCAGCATTTCTTCCCGTATGTTTAGTCGGTCGCTTTGGTCGGTGCACAATTCCAGTATCTACTTACACAGCAAGGCACTCGGCTGTGTCGGAGGCAAAAATAATTTATGCCGGAGAATGCCAGTTCCTTAGTGGCACTGATGTCTGGATCACCCGGAGTCAAACACTTAAAATCGATCTATAAGAACATTAGGATAAGCATTTTGAATGACTTAGCCTCGAAGGTATCGAGCTTTGCTTTTATTTCCACTGAGATTCTGTAATGGGTCTTACTCGCTTTGAAGAGCATTTACACATAAGATTACGCTTGTGAAAACTGGAAAATTTCGGAACATGCGTTGCCTTCTCATTGCCATCTCATTTTCGCCGATAGAACTTCTCAAGACGAGCACATTAAAGAAGCGCACCTGCTGCCTCTGCTTTTTATCCTCTTTTAATTGTATTTACAGCACTGTCTTGGCACGTTCCTGATGCATTTGATACTATCAGCTCGAGGTGGAGTCCCACTGGTCAGGAGGGAATATTCTCTTTCAGGTATGAAAGCCAGCGGGCCGTTGTTGCGATGCAACAACAAGGAGACATTTAAAGTAGCTAATTCGGTTAAGAGCAAAGCATGCACTTTAAGATCAACAACGTAATCCTAGGCATCGGTCCTCGATCTGACTTTCGCAGACAGAAGAAATGAAAATGACGCAAGTCGTGGAATTCTTCTAATGAGTTACAGTTGTGTAACTCGTGATATGCGTGATCGACTTCAAACGGGGAAGTTAATCACCAAGGGCAATGACTTTTTACGAGAAATTGCAGCTTCAGGAAGATGTCGGTTAGTCACTTGCGCACATTGACGGCA